GTTTGGCACCGGTATCGGATAAAACCTAAACGATACCCATCCCTATTCATGGATATGGCCTGGTCAGTGCTCTGAGTATGGCTTATTTAGTGAGTCACAAACACACAACAGTGCCATTACAGAGAAGTTTCAAAGTTCTGTTCAATGCCGCCATCATGGACTGTTAACTCTGGGCTGCTCAAACTTTGTGAGTAGGACATCCGAGTTGAGAGGGTGTTCCTACTGGGAGCAGGAAAAATCCAACTTTCAACTTATTCAGGAACCATAAATGTGCAAATAAGTGAAGAATATTCTTGGATGAGCAGTAAAACGTCTTCACAAACTTGACCCCACACAGACTACACTCTCCATTGTGGAAACGGCAGATATTGTTTCCCTTGATCTAACTGGACGTTACTTGACAGGATGGGTGGTGCGTGCAGCATGCCTAACTTTGTGTCAACTAGTCGATGATTAGTTTGGAAAGAAGGCAGAAGAGCGGGATGAACAGAAACGTTGTGTGATTAAACAAATGAAGCCATGATTAAGGTTTTTCAGGAAGAGGATATGAAGCAATCAGTCCCGCTAATTGCACGGCCAATAATGGTCTAAAGACAAACAATCAGGCTTAATTAGAAACAGCGGTAAAGGGTCTGTGTGAGGCAAGCAAACTCATTCATACATGGATCTAAAACTAATGAAGCCTGGATGTGAGACGGTGGTTTGCAATGACCTAAACAAAGAGTTTTCTGATTTTGTTTGGATGCTTACACAACACTGTCTCCTAGTAATGGTAAAACGCTACTGCTTAAACAGTATTTAGGGATGGTTAATCATGTGCATAAGACTGATCAATAGCGATGTTCTTAAAGAATATCGTTGCTGATGTGAGGAAGAGGAAGAGCACTGGATAAATGACTGATGGTCACGTACCCTAGAATCTTCTGAAGATGTATACTGTACTTGGACAGACTTTGATGTATGCGTTTGTATGATTTGTTTAATTATGTGTTTTGATGCAAGTCTCATACATTTCTTGAATGCATACTTATTAAAAAGAACGGACTGTGAAAGACACAAGAAGGATTCAGCAAAAGACATGTCATGGACTCACAAGGCACGGCGTGACGGTAGAGGTTGTCTCTGATGGTCTGCTGCAGTTCGTGGTCAGGCGAGGACTTCTGGAAGCGCTGGCTCAGATACTGCTTCAGGTCCTTGGTCAGCTTGCTTCCTGTGATTGTGAACACAAATGTATCAAAACAACTGAAGTAAAAACCAGGCCAGCACACAAAAACATCACAAGAGCCAAAATGACACTGTTAATCCACAGCGGAGCGTCAAATGACCACACCGCTTGGCTCCAGTGAAAAGAAATACACAGGTTTATCCTGCAACTACAGTAAAGCTCGATGCTGAGCGAGTGCACAGCCGTGAATTGTACACTTGCCATCGTCACTGAGAGGGGGTAGCTGGCCGCTCACTCTCGCTCCAGCAGGCCAGGACCAGCCAAATCTAAGACTGCTAGCACCATGGCTAACACAGAAGCAGCCCTCCTACCGATTAGCCATCTGCACCTCAGACACACATTAGGCAACTAAAGGGCAGCATGGGGGGAAAGTGTCCATATGTGTGTGTGTTTGCTCCCGAATCTGTGCCTGTGTGTGGTTATTACAGATACTGTCCACGTTAGTGGCAGTTCCACGCCTGTTCAAACGTATCACATGCAGTCTGAGAGCATAACAGAAAAAAAGAGAGCCGAGATGTCTGCCGTCACCCTAAACAGACTGAAAAACTGAGTTTTATACTCAATTTATACTCAATGACAATTTCATGATCGAATTTCGTGACAAGACTTCTTCAGGCAACAACAAACATCTTATTTTCTTCATTAGTGTATGTCCCATTACTCATTATACAAATGATGTATCTCCCATCTTTGCATGGCTGCCGAGACCATTTTTGGTTGTCTTGGGCAAACAACCAATCATAAAAGGCCCTGGTTTCTGTTTCCATGGAAACTGTGTGTACGTGCGTGTATGTGTGTGTACATGCGTGCCGGTGTGTGTGTTTAATAAGATGATTGAGATTGTTACCAAAGTACAGAAGAGCATTCTGCATTGGTTAGCAGAAAATATTGTTTTTGTTTTTAATGATATGAACCTACAATGGAAGCACAACATGCACAGGCCCACCTATGGTGCGTCTGCCTTTTATTTGATTGTGACCAAATATGTTGTCTGTGATGCATGACAATATACATGAAGGAGCACAAAGTAGATGCAGAAACATATGGGCAAATTATCAAATTGTGGTTTGGAAGCAGTCGGGTAATTAAAATGTCAGCATAGAACACATTTAACTGTTGTTCCTCTGAATTCGTCGTTTTTTTCTCATCTTCATTTTTCTATTTTAGATAAAAAGTTCACATTTAATATTTCTCTTGATTTCTAAAAAAAAAAAAAAAAGCGTCTGTAGATCACACTTTTTATAGCAAGGTTGCTTACTAGGAGTTAATCCAGCTTTTGTGTATTGAAATGTAATTGACTCAGTTATAAATAAACTGGGGTCTTCGACCACCGCAAACGTGTACCGTTATAAATCAGTTTTACTAATCGATGATGCGTAAGCTGTCTATAAAAAGAGGTTAAGTCTTCCATCACTATCTGAGCTTGCTGTTGGGAGGGTATGCTGCTCCTGGCACCGTCCCATACAGACATATCACTCAGTTGTAATCCTCACAACAGGTCACAAGCTAACTCTCACGCCAACAGAGAGCCTAACGCACTCTCTGATGTGCTCATGCACACAATTACTAGAGAGCTGTGGGTACTCCTTAATGCCAGACTTCAGACTGATTGTGTGACCCAGTGTGAAATTCGGACTGGACTCCCTGCAATATCACTAAAAGGTCACCCAAAGTGAATGATGGCACAACATAGTACAATTTAGGTTTTTCCTAGTAATGTTAACTCAATATTGTGGCATATTTTTAGCCATAAAGAGGTGTAGCCACTAATATGAATCAAGATCCAAAAATGCTGAATTCTACAGTTCCAATCAGGCTCGAAACCAAGTGCTCATCAAACTCAGCAGCAGCTTTTGTGCATCATCAGTACACATTATTTTGGCTGATTAAAAGATGAGTCACTCTTTCAGATGAAGCAGGCAGGCTTAAGAAAGCTAGCACAATCCTTTTACGTGGTTGGTGATGGGTGTGCCATCAACAGCACCTCAAGGAACTATTGCATAAGAGCTAATCCAGTTACGTTGAGTCTGTCCTCCCCCAACTCTCTCTTTGTGTGCCATTATCTTGATGGAACAACGATGCTTTCGTAAAAATGAGCAGCCATCCTTCAAAGTCACAAAAGTATGAATAACAAGACCCTAAAGGACTGCCAGAGTAGTAAATGATAAGAATATAATTACATTGGGACATGTTGATTAAGTAGATAGCGCTATCTGTCATCATTCTGCTCCTGTACAGAGCTGACAATTAAGGCTATCCACTGATCCTCACCTGGTGTCAAAATATGGCATTTAACAGTAAGCATTTAGGGAAAAGTCTGACCCAATTTCAACTACCTGCATAGACCAGGCTGGTACTAAAGCTCACCATTACAAGGAAGCTGCTTAAGCCTTTTTTCCCTTAAAAATTAAATTACCTGCTAGAGCTCCATATTAGGACTATATGCCAAAGATCAAGTCCTAATATATTTCATCTGGCACATCTGCTCTTGACTTTCATTTAAAATCAAAAAGAATGTCGAGTATGTAAACACAATAAAACAAAGCAAAATAAAAATACAATTAGGATTTGTTCAGGATACAAGATCCAGATGTGAGAAGCAAATCAAGTCAACTTAGATGTTACTTGCCTTGGAACTCAAAGCAAATACAAAATAAGGAAAAAACAAAACTCTGAATCAGTCTCTTTTCAGAAATCACAAGGCCCACAAACGATTTTTTAAATCTAAAGTCTGCATTTGGCAGCCAAAAGAAACATACAGCTAGCTAACAGTAGAACCTGGCTGAAGGAGATGCTGATAATATTTACATCTTTTCACACTGTCGAGCACAAGCTTCCCATCACAGGTTAAATTATTCTTTTCTTCTAATGTAGTTGGACACTACGAATTCTCCCGACATTTAAACCATGAGTGGCGAAGTTAATCTTAAGGTCCACCAGAAAGGACAGTAGAAGTCCAGCCAAACCCCCAATCTTCCTGCACACTGTGGTACTATTACTTCCATGCTTTAAACGCAAGCCAAATAAAAGCACACCATCTTGAACAATGTTCTACAAGAAGTGCAGGATGAGTGACCACTAGCTTTTCCTTGGCCGGTACTTAGATGTCTGCTGGGACCAAGTATGCATGAGGTTCGGGAGTCAAATGAACCTCTTTCTGCAGCTACACGATGTACTCTGTTGTTTCTGGTATGAGGTCAAATACCATTCGACCACATTTCCTATTGCCTTTCCCTTCCCAGCTGAGTACTTTAAAACCACTATCCTTAAGTGATCCAACAACGTGAGATTCTTTTGAGTCTTTTGCCTCCAAATAGGTTTTGGTTGATGAAACGGTAGTAAAAAAAAAAATCCACTGTTATTGAGTGGATAGTGTACCAGCAATCTGTCAGGTCAACATGATACCTCTCATGATCACCTCTCCTTAAACCTTAAAGACAGCTAGTCAGCTCCTTAAAAAGACTGCCAAGTATACATTAAAACCATTAACTGCTACCAAGGTGCTGTTTTGGTACCACCAATGACACAGCACTCTGGCTGTGATGGCAAATAGCGCCGTTTCTGTATGTAAAACGAACATCTTAAAAGTCTTTCAGTTTTAGTTTTGAGCTTTAATTTCAGATAGTTTTAGTTCTGATGCCCTGATGATTTTACCTGTAATTCAGTTATTAACACAAAAACATCACCAAACTCTATGAACATGATGGAACAAAGAGCAGGCAGGCAGCAAACTAGAATTCAGAGACCATTTAGCCCAGAGGCCACCCACCCAAATCATACTGCAAACACATAATTAGAAAAGACGTATCCTTAAAACAAAGCCCACCTGTTATAGATTTTCCATAATCCCACTGAAACAAGCGAGATTTCCTGACCGGAGACGTGCAATCTACAACAGAAGGGAGGTGAGCGAGAAGGTTTTTTTATACAAGACAGAGAGAGGCAGGGTCTGTCACACAGAACGTGAACATCAGAGTAAGCCAGGCAAAACATCAAAAGAGTTTTTAGACATAGCTGAAATGTGGAAAGCCCCTCTACTTTCCAGGCATCTTCCCCCACTGAACCCAGCCCGGCACCCCTCGGCTGTGATCAGCCAGCCAAGTCCCTGCTCAGACATGCATAGCCAGCCGTGGCACCAGCTAGACCCTCCGCTGGCAGTTGACATCTGTATTCACAGCATGGAAAAAGCAAACTTCATTGAAACTCGATCCTCCTTGCTCGCGGGGCAGCCTTAGTAAGAAAGGAAAGGTTTGACCGATTTCTGCTGATTTAGTAATGGGAGGAGTCACGCACCCGTTACACT